TTCAGTACTTCTTGCATTTGTTGCCAAGCATTCGCATGAAAGAAGATCTGTGATGATTGGTCCATGCTGGCACTGAACGAATTCAAGGAAAATAAGCAAGCTTAGCCATGTCTGTACATCTGTCTATCTGTTAGACAAAAGTGAGGTTCTGTAGAAAGATATCAGCTCTGTTTCCTTGTTTAAAGCTGAAACTTTCTATCAGCAAGTTACTATATGGTTGGAAAGCAACGGCGTCCTGGGTTTGTTTGTTTTTTTTTTTTTAACTACTTTTCAACCAGTAGACATTCAGCAATGGCAGCTGACTAAAGGCATTGCTTTATTAGTTTCTCAGGTCTTATGTGTGCTTCTCCAGCCAATGCAATACAATAACCTACTTTGTAACATGTTTCAGTGACTGTCATTTTTAATTTGAAAAGTGTAACAAATGACTTTTAGCTTTTGATTTTGTTTTGTTTTGCAATATTATTTTTTGTTTATTCAAAATTTTCCCACATAAAAAGTTATATGTAATAACCATATAATTATATAACATTATCTCATATACTTTTACAACTATTATATTAACATGTGTTATTTCACCATAAAATGAAAAAATATTATTATTTTTTTAATATTTAAAGACTCATTGTAGACCTTTATTAGGAAAATTAGAAGACTTGCTTTCTCAACCCAACTGCACAGTTTAACATCTAACGATGCTGAAAAAGAAATTGGAATAACAGAGTTCTCTGACTCATGGAAGTGAAGGATCTACTCCAAAGAAAATGAACTAAACTCTAAATAAGAAACAAAAGTGTAATGAAATCTGTTCTTTCCCAGGCTTCAGAGATGTTAACATTTAACTGACTGTTATGCAACAGGACATTTTTGAATGGTATTATTGCATTTGTTCAGTTGTGGCATAATTTTGAGGTCGATCATTAAAGAAAAAGAACTGAATTTTTCAACCATAAATGTGATGAGCTCTTTAAAATCCGAAAATTAGCTGTTATAGCTTTCCAACTAGATGTGCAAAAGCCACCAAAGCATCTTACAAGGTAAATTGTCACAGTGGCTGGAGAGGACACACAATACTGAGAGAGTTTTAGCTTTTAAAGAGCATATTAACATCTACATTTAAAATATTCAATACTTCCCAAACAATTATTTGTCTCAAAATAATGTTGCGATCAAACTGTCACAATAAAACTACCAGAAAGTATTTTTCTTCCTAAATCACAATAGGGCAAATTATTGACATCAATGAGGCTGAAGGAAAGATAGCTTTTGTCTTCTTTTCATTTCTTATGTGAAGCTTTTTCATTTGATTCAGAGTAGATTTCTCCTTTCCATAAGTAAGAGACCGCTTTGAAATATCAGTTTCATTCTTTTCTCCAACTTTGGATATAGACAGTGTAATGGTGATGGAGAAAGTGAAGCTTAGTCTCCTCCATCTCTGACAAGTGTCCATCCTTCACAGTAAGAAACCTATATGATAAATATATTTTATTTCAGGGGAAATACTGTTAAATTTCATAATACTTACACTTTTATCTATGTGTGTGTATTTATAAAATAGGACAGAGAAATTCTAATTTCTACTAATTCTAGCTGTGCTTCCATGTAGGCTCAAGACAAAATTCAAGATTTCAAAATTAGAATGTATTGGACAAAAATGGGGTTACAGGGATTATAGCAGGGAAAATTAAAGATAACATGTCATTTTAGTAGGATTATGAAACACTTTAGCCTTTGGGTCCCATGAAAGGGTCTCATGGGCCCTAGGGGCCCTTGACCATAACTTCAGCCTTGAACAACGCTGGGTTGGGGAATAATAGCTGTAATAACAACAACAAACAATCGAAAACCTCAGTAATTTCACATTATTAAAGTTTACTACTGCTTGCTCATTTAGCCTAATCAGGAAAAGGCTGTACTCCACACATTCATTTAGGAATTGGAGCTGACGGGGTTCTATGTCGTCAATGTCTGCCTTCTGAGGTTGACCAGGGGAGAAAGTGGGAGTGGATCATTTTTTCAAGAAGTTTTTATGAGCCCAGCCTTCAAGTAAACTTCAACGCTTTGTCCACATTTCATTAGACATGGTATCCCCAGTTGCAAGGGAGGCTGGAAACATAGTCAGCTGTGATGCAGGTTTAGTAAATAGGAAGTCAGTCTTGAATATAGCACCTAATTTGATAGATCTCCTGTGAGAGCCTCTGAATTGGAAAAGTTTAGGTATAAAGCATTGTACGTATGTCAACAATATAAGAAAATCAAGTCGGTGTAATGTAATTTCAATAACATTCAATAACATTTATTGTGCACGTACTATGTCCAAGCAGTGTCCTTGGTTCTGGATAAAGGGAGGAAGAATAGACGTAAAGGCCCTTGTAGAGCGTACTTCCTTATAGTCTAGTGGGAGTAGGTGGTCAATAAAAAGCTAACAACTGGCAAAATAATTGTGATAAAAGAAACCATGAAGGGAGAAAAGAAAGTGGGAGTCAAAGAAAATGGGAGTCAATGACCCTTGGAGAGGGTCCTCCAGAAGACCTTTCCTCAGAGAGATTTGAGCCAAGAACTGAAGGATGAGAAAGATTCACAGGTGCGGAGCCCTGGGGAGAGATACTGAAGACGGAGAAAAGAGCAAAGGTCAAATTGCTGAGGATGAGGATAGCCTAGAATGTTGTAGAAATAGAAGGGGTCCATGTGTTTTGAGAGGAAAGAGCAGAGATTAGCGTCTAGGGTATGTTGGCCCAGGTGGTCTGGGGCAAGAACACACAGGACTTTATAGTCCGTTACAGAGAGTCGTGGCTTTAACTTAAGGGCAATGGAAAGCCCCTTAAGGTGCATTTCATGATTTGATTTGTATTTCTAAAAGTTTATTCAGGTTGCCTAGTGGAGAATAGATTTGGGGAGCTGTAGAGTAGTAGATGACTATTAAGTCCAAGGTCATCGTGCTTCTGCATAATAATTTATGTCATTGCCCTGGACACCCTGAAGCAATAAGTCAATCTCAATATTCTTAAATTCAGTGTAGGCTGTTTTTAAAAATTGTGTCGATTATTTTCTGCCGTTTATTTTGCAGCTCGTAGGGGCCATGTGTTACCGTGATTGTGATATTACTGGTGCCTAATTCAAATGGAATTGCAGAAATGATTTTTTCCTAAAGATTGTTTTTTAAACAATCAGTGCTCTCACCGTTAATACAATGACAAAAATACATTTTCAATTCTCAGAACTGGAATTTCTCTCAACGTTGTCTAGCATGAGTTATAAAAATGACAAAACTTCGCCTTCAAGCTAGAGAAGGGAATGCTAACTGCGTTCTCACAAGAGTCATAGCAACAGCCATGCAAGGCTGAAGCATTCTCATCAAAAAGGAGATAGTGAGTAGCAATACTGACCATTATGAAAAGTAGTAAAAAGGATATAATAAAGAATCCAGATAACTGGGGTAGGCAAGCTCGGTGGGTGGGTCTCTTCAATACCAATAAAAGTGCTTAACCGTGACAGCCAATCTGAGTAATTCTATACAAAACTGTTCTTTTCTTGTACATAGTAGGTATTACATATACATTTCTCGAAAGAATAACCAAATATCCATTGATTTAGATGAAGGAAAAAGATCTCTGCCAGGAGGAGGCCTGACCCAAGTAGACTATGTTGTCCTCATTTCTGTTTCTTTCATGGATATGGCATACGGGTATTTCTTTCTGTCTTTCTTTTCCAAAAAAGCAAAAGAACTGTTTTCAAAACAGTTATACAATACACTGGTATTCTAATAGTGTCCTGCAATAAAGTGAGTCTGAATAGGTGATATAACTAAACTGTAGGGGGGCCAATCCAGGACTTTCAGATTCAACAGATCAGTGCACATTGCTGTTTAAAAACAAACACACAAAAAATTAAATATTTTCTTAGTAGAAAAAACAAAAAAACCTGTAGTGACGATGAGTACCCTAGTAAAATCAGCCGGCGGTTACGGATTTGGTGCGTTCACACGCACAGATGCACTAGGAAGCACACTTAGGTACACACGGACATACACGCACACATGGTCTTAATATCCAGGACTAATTCTATCCAGAAAGAGCGCTACCCTTTCATATTTCAGCCCTAGACCATTATTGAGTGGTGTCTTATGAAACATTTCTAACTTTGTTAAGATTTTTGATTTATCACTAATACCCTAGCAGCAAAAAGTAATTAAAATTCACAGTCATCTTTTATATTGAATACCATGTGTCTCCAAGATAAATCATAGCCTCTGATGCTCTCACCCATAAATAAGAGAAAATCAATTCAAAGTAACTGAGATTATAGGGATGTGTATTGTTTCAAAAGAGCAAGAAGCCCAGAGAAGTGCAACTCCAGGCGAGGTGAGTACAGTGCCCCAGTGATATTCTTAAGGACTCACGGTTCTCCATGGTTCTATTCTGCTCATCATAAGAGTCAGCAGTTTCTTACCTTAGCATCTGTCAACATCACAAGTTGCCCACCACACATGATCCCAAAGGCTCCAACACAAACATGACCACAACTTGAGCTGGGAAAACTGTATGCCTTGTGTCTATTTATTATCAAGGAAAACGTTCTCAGAAGCCCTCCAGTAGGCTCACCTTTATGTTACGCTGGCTGTGATCAGACAAAATAATTGTATCTAGAAGAGATGGAAGTTTACCCAAACCTTGAACTATCTATGGATACATTTTACAAAAACATCTGTTGTCTGATTATAAAGAAAATGAGTAAGATTTTTACTTGGTTATTAGATGAAGTAATGACATGGGGAGGTTTTTTAAAATGGCTTCTTGATAAAAATCCTGTAGTAATAATATTACATTATGTAAATTAACATTTCAGTCTTAACATTATCATGCACTTTTTATTTAATCATTTAATTTCCCCTAGTATATTTTATAAGGCACATTCCTGAATAATTTAATGGTATCTTACTCAACCTCATTTTAAGTCATAAATGCAGAATAAGACTAATTGTCTTTTTCTCAATTTTTAAGATCCTGACTTTAAGGACCTTGGAGTTTTGAAACCATTACCAGGTTGGTAAAAGAGATATTTAATACCGTTCAGAGGCCTTTGTTTTCTGCTATGATATATACTTTCGGTTTATTACTCAAGCTCCATTTTTGTATGTTTGTTTGGCATTTTGTTATTTAGTGTGTGAGTTTGAGATGGGCGGCCCTGAAGGCATTGTGGAGTCTATACAAATTATGAAGGAAGGCAAAGCTTCTGCTAGCGAGGCCGTTGATTGCAAGTGGTACATCCGAGCACCTCCACGATCCAAGGTCAGTCTCAAGGTGAAATTCAGGTTTGACAGTTGGCCTGCAAAGTGTCTCCAGCGTGCACTGCTTTGAACCAACTGGACATGCTTCATTCATTTCAGAGTGCAATCATAAGCTATCATTTTCTTTTAGTTTTGAATTGCAAATCGCCTTCCTCTGTTTAATGTAACTTTCAAGGTCATAAATAATACGGAGAGGATGTTGGAGAGCTCATTGGATAACCTGGATAAGAGACTCTGGGGTAAATCTACCTCTCTGAAAAGTGCATTGAAATGTCATATATAAGCTATGGTTCTGAGCATAACTTATGTCCTTATTGTCAGCATCTGTAGTTTACTTGCTTTTTAACCTAAAATCGTATCTATGGAAGAAATTGTCCAGGGCTCACAAAGTCATGTGTCTCTGGAATATAAAATAAACCTGCAATAGGGCTGAGGGACAGACAGTGGTGATCAGGACCATGAAAAAGAGACAGCAGGTCCTTAACTGCCTGTTAAACTCCTTGATGATCATCATGAGAAAATGTTGGTCCAGCATCACCAAGTCCTCCATTTTCTTCATAATATGCCCAAAATCTAGATTTTATGTTGATTACCTTGATTTTTTTTTAATTTTATTTTTTGGCCATGCTGCACAACGTAACGTGTGGGATCTTAGATCCCCGACCAGTGATCAAACGCGCATCCCCTGCAGTGGAAGCGTGGAGTCTTAACCACTGGACTGCCAGGGAAGTCCCTGATTACCTTGATTTTTAAATGTTGACGATAAATTTTAAAAGTGGGAAACATTAGACGTATTAAACTAAATATATTGTGGGCCAGATTCAGACTCAGATCACTGTTTTGGAAACACTTGTTTAGAACAACCCCATTCATTCTATTATGGATGTATCTTAAGAAATATTGGGATGAGTAATTTTGTGCCAGTAGCTGTCACAGGTTTAGAGTGTCTATTATTTGCTTATTCTCCCTTTATTGTCATCCTTCATTTATAGAATATAGTTACAACCAAGCTTTACTGATTTATTAGATTTGGAGTTGCCCATTTATTGAGGTTGAAACAGTTTGTTAATTAATTGACTTAGTGATGCTATAAACTCTCAAGCACTGTGCTGAGGAAATGAAAAATTATGCTGTCCTCCTGTTTCCAGTTTAATCCTTAGACAACTATGTATCAAAATAATCCATGGAATATGACAAGATCATTATGGTATTTATAAGGTGTAGTAGAGTGAGGGAAAGGACCACATATAGCTGGTGAGGAAAATCAAGGGTGGAATCAAATTGCATTGCAGGGCGTCCTCTGAATCTTAATGAGAAATGGTGCTGTCAGGTAGACAAGGTGGGAAAGACTCTCCATGTAGAGTGAATAGCATCTGGAAGGTCATAGGATCATAAGAGAGCATGCTTTTTCAGGAATTAAAGGAACTGCATGTGACCAAATGAAAGCAGAACTGTGGAGGTGAGTGGTTAAGCCGAAGGGCTCTGTCCATTCCCCTAAAGATTTATCCTGAGTGCATTAGTGATACATGGAAGAGTGTGAAACAGGAAAGTGATGTGATCAGATCTGCATTTTTGAAGAACAGATTTTCCCTGTCTAGAAAAGACAGAGGTGTTAACACCTCAAGCTAGATACAAAAGAATTTGGTGGCTGGATATTTAGGATGAGGGAAAAATAAAACTCATCTCTGAGGGAGTTGGTATTTCAGGAAGTATTTTTGTCCTTCTTCACTTGATTACCCATGAATATGTCTTTGGGGTTCGCATATAATTTGGAAGTGTGGAACACTTTCCCCAAGCTTCTGGTTATGGAGATTCAGATCATGGTCCAAGTTCCAGCTTTGCCACTGCAGGTCTCTTTGCATCTGAACAAGTCTTTAAAAAGTTAATTGCATTATGAAGAAAGACACAGTGATTCCTCCTTCAAAAAAAAAAATCCAAGGCTACTGGTGACGCAAAACCCAACCCAATGTGAGAGCTAGATTGCAGTGGATTATGCTCCCTTACATAATCTGTGGGTTCACATGTGCTATTTATTTTCCTTAAACTCTATGAGTGAAAGATTTTTTAGATTTTTTTTTTCAACAGGGAATATTTGAGTCCCACCTCATGGTCATAACTAGCACCTTTGTCACCTCAGTGTCAAAGCGACAGTTTCTATGGGATTGCAAACACACAACCATTTCCTTCCAGCTGGTAAATAGACTGTCTTCTGTACAATTGCAGAACAACAATACCCAGTGTACCTGCCTGTTACAGAATTTGGCATTCTGTGACCCAAAGGGGAAGCCGCCTGCAGAGCTGGCTCTATTGTGACAGACTTTCTCTGTTAGATTAAAGGTTAGGGGATAGGAAGTGGCTTTGAATAACTGTCGAGAAAAGCAAGAACTCGAGATGACGGCCTATGTGGGCTTTCTATTTATATGGAGTTCCTAGCAGCCTCGGAGAACAGACTATCAAAGCACAAGTTAAACCTGAAATGGCTCATGTGAATATTTGAATGATAACTAGTGACGGAAACATATTACACAATGAAAGTGCAAAATAGCTTACCGGGGTTCTATTAAAATTTACATCAAGTGTATGTTGCTTCTCAGCCTCTTCACAAACAGAAAATACAATATCTGATATTTCCTTTGTTTGAGAATTGTAATACAGACGATCTCCTTTAATTAGAATGCGATTAACCCAGATTTCTTAGAAACTGGAATACCAGAGCCAGAAAGAAAGTTGGAAATACGTTACTGATGTGTCCTTTAACAGATGAATACGTTGAGTCAGGATAGTGAAGTTGGTTAACGATGGGATGTCGAAATATGCCTCTGTAAGCAACGCTTTGGTTTTCATACAGATTCTAGAGCAAGGGTAGTAGGAGAGTATTATGGTGTCTAGTTCTGGATCTGGTCCAATAAAGAATCATTAGAGAAGAATGTTGGATGAGCCCATCGTGGTAACAATGTTAATTTCATGAAGGCTGAGACTTATTTCTCTCTAGATACCCAATACCAAGAAAAATCTGTCATTCAGTTAAAACTCGTGGAAAAAATAAACTGATGTGTACGTATCTAGAAAAATGGACATGGTGACAATCTTCAAGCATATGAAGAACTGTTAGGAGACAGAAATAAGAGGATAAGGTTTAATCTGCATGTTTTCAAGTACTGCAATTTATTTGTATGCTTGAATCTAGAGAAATATTCAATATAAAGAAGGTTTTTGTTTTTTATTTTAATAATGGAGATGCCCAAAGATCAAATGAGATTCCATGGGAGGAATCCAAGTAAAATTTGGCAGGGATTTTGTATAATAATTAAAAAGTCAAGTAATTTTTTGGCATAGATAATATTAAACTCCTTTTAAGACCAAAACTTGATGAATCTATGATAAGTAACTGCTTAGATATTTGATGAGTTAGTAAAAGGGCTGAAGCCAGTTCTCCATGTCCTGACCCGAAGTCCAGTGTGATGTCACAAAACCACACTATTTGGGGAAACTGTCAAATTTGTTAAGACAAGAAAATAAATAAATCAAAAGACTTTTAAAAGTGTATACGTGAAGGTAATTAATTTAATGATTAAGGTCTTGGGAGAATAAAACTAGCTTTTATTAATTACCCATCATTTAAAACTTCAAATTAATTTTTAAATGTTACTTAATTCAAAATACTTTGATTAAAATTAGGATAAAAAACAGAAAAACTTGACAAATACAATAAATCGATCTTTTATAGTGAAGTTGAGTTTTCAGCCTCATATGACCTTAGCAAAAAAACACAGTCCAGCTCACCAATACTTCTAACCTATAGATAATATATGGGCATTGTTTGAAGCTGCTCAATTTGTGGTAATTTGTTATGGGATCAAGGAGAAAATTAATGCAACAGGGGAAGGGTAGCAACAATAATTGTTGACAATGATAAGTTTAGGGATTCTAAAGATTGAGTCTGCTCTTAGTATCTCCAAAATGAAAATAAAAATTGGGTAAACAGATTGAAAATCTTAACTGATTAGATAACTACCAATGCTTTGGCTCAACTTTGTTTTTAAATGAAATCTCAGTTTTGTAGCATCAGATTTTGGAGGGTTACTCAGATGGACCTGAAATATTTTGATACTTGTCTGTGCATGCCAGAAAACCATTTTAATATGGCTGTATCTGGGCTTGTTGTGTGGGGTGTGTGTTTTTTCAATAGTATGATGTTCTGGTTTTTGCCTCCAAATAAAGTGCTACCCTCTAAATTCATGGGATATCCTACCTAAAATTATAAGGCCTGGCAAGTCCAGCCACAAATAAAAAGCAACCACAGAAGTCCTGGGTTACACGCTTTTCAGAATGTAGCTTTATTTATCAAAGTGTAAAGCAATATGGAAACCGTGGTTAGTGTTTTTCAGACTGTGGTGTATTTAATTTGTATTTATCATGGAGAAAACGTTTCTGGCAGATCTTAAATAATTGCGCCAAACAATGATTGTATCTTGCATATCATTGTGACATGAGAGGAGAGAGCCGGTTGAATGGTTGGTATTACACATTTGCAAGTATATTAACTTAGTAAATCGTTAGCTAGATTTACTTGCTTTAAGTATACGAAAGGGATTCTGCTGTCTACATTAGTGTGATTTGGAAGACAGATATTACTAGAAATTGTTTATGTGTTCTGAAGCCTCCCACGTCCTGTTCAATAAATCATTTTGTCAGCTCAAACTCTTTGTGATTGATTAGAAAGAAGAATGCATCAAAATGATTCACGGAGAGGAGATTGTAATCTGACTATTTTACTGGAGTTATATATGATTCTGTTTATCACTTTCTCTTTTCTTCAGCAGAGAGACTACGAGCTTTCTGTGGTTTTCTACCTTAAGTGAAAACATTGTCATATGGCATTCTTCCCCTTAGTGATATTATGGCACAAGGTTTAAGCTGATGAGATATCATCTAAATCCTAATGTAGGGAGGGTTTTTATATGATATATACTATAGCTAGTGTGGGAAAACTTGAGCACTTTTCTGGCTAATGGCATTTGGCTTTTGAAGCAACAGCTCTGTACCCAGTAAAGCTAATACCCACTGGAATATTTTATTTCTTTTTTTTAAACTATTAAAAAATTTTTTTAATGATTGAATGCTTCAGAAGTGAATATATAAAATCTAGTGACTGTAATCGTTCACTTCCTCTATGAATAGTATTCTGTCTAATAAGAATAGTCTTTAGATACAGAAGGTTCTTAGACTTCAGCCATTGCCCTTCATGTAAGAATGCAAACCATTCATCTCCCGTGGAAGTTCACACTCTCTAGAACTGTCAAATGAGAAAACATGGGCCGAATATGCAAATTGTCTTTCTAACTACAGCAGTATTCTTCTATAAGATAGTCTTATTTTTAAAGAAAATTTAAGACAGCCATTTACTTCAGAGAGACACATTTATTTTCTGTGAATGTTATTCATATCTCAATCGTCAATATGTTTCTTAGCCCCTTTAGAAAAGTAGAAATGGTTTTGCTTTGCTTGCTTATTTGTCGATTTTGTTGGAGTTTGTTTTTATTCAAGACTATAACATTCTTTCTGGAATATCAGTCTTTGAAAATTTTCAAAAAAATTATATGCGGCTGCAAAGTTTGATACTAAGAAGAAAAGTGTCAGGCATATCTGAGTTCAATACCAATCTATTACTAAAGGGCCTGTGTCACTCTGAGAAAGTTACTTAGCCTTTCTAAACCTTGGTGTGTTTTTTCATTTTAAAATAGTTATTATAATAGTGTGTATTACTGTTGAGAGATTTGAGTGAAATAATGTGTTAGCTCAATGTCTTAAGTTATTGCCAGTACACGAAGCAAATACTAAGTTAGTATGTTAAGTTGTGTTTCTGAAATAATTGTTCAGACATGTTCGGCCACTGAATCACTCAACCTGAAAATGTCACAGGATCAAATATCTTTCTTTCTTGAATTAGTCAAATGATTACTTTACTTTTCTTTCTGTGGGGATGGTGTTTGCTTTTTATAGCTTTGTAAGAGCATTGGAGGGAGGGGTTTTCAGTTACCCTACTCAGTGTTTTCTCCTGTTAGTAACTATGTACGTTTACAATTGTAATTGCATATTCTTTTGAGGTGTAATAAACTGTGTTGGAGTCATTGTATAGTATTTGAGAATATAGATATATATTTGATTTTTGTTGCATTTAACAACTTTTTTACTTCCTAAGAATACCTAGATTTTATAGGTATTTACATTTTTTATATTTTTATAGTGTTTTCAATTTGTTTACTTTTATTCAGGATGAGGCTAGTGAAGAGCTCTTTAAAACAAAAGTTTAGGATTTTAATACTACTTAAGGCTTTCACGTTGATTTACTTATTTTCCTTGAGCAAAAGCTATTTTGTCTCCTGTGCTCCAGCTTCCTGGTAAAGGTCATCTAACTACAGACCCAGTTCCTTTTTACAAATCCCTGTGAAAATTTGAAAAACAAACCAGTTAGTAGAAACTTGGAAGGTTTAACATTTTCAGATATGCCTTCCTAGGGTGGACAATTTGGAATTTTCTGGATAATTTTCAGGAATGTAACATTTGGTTGAGAAGAGTGCATCCAAGATGGGCTACATGAGTAATATTTGAACTTTCATAGAATAAAACAAAGCAATGACGGAGGAATGAAGAACAGGCAGGCTTTCCTAGGCTGTATGTTTTATAAGATTGCAGTAATGGCAGTTAATTTAAAGTCAGTATCAAAGTATTTGGGAATTTTGGGATAGCTTCCAACTGAGATGTTATAGATTGCATATACATGAAAACCTGCTCACCATGCAAAGCATAATGAAACTACAGTGCTTTCCATTATTTCTTAGTTTTGTCCGTTTCCCCCTATTTTTCTCTTTTTGTTCTTCCTCCTGAGAGTTATATGAGGATTTCCTGCCATGGGACTCACATTTTATTTACACTCAATTCCTTATAAGTCTGCAACATATGACGTATATGCTTTTATGTCATAGTTTAGAGTTATAAATACCTTGTTTTGAAAATTATTGCATGTCATTTTCTACTGCAAATAATAAAATGTCAATTCTATGTAATTATCATGATTTATGGCACTCAAAACAAAGTCTGGTGCATAGGTGCCCAATAAATGTGAGACAGATGCTGAAAAAATGAAGTTAATAAAGAAAACCGAATTTCCAATCAGTAGGTCATTAAATGTACATCCGTGCAAATTTTATGGAGTGAGTGCTTAACATACATAGCACATGGTGTAACACTGAGAGTCAAATAAATACACCACCACCCCAGCTTTTCAGGAACACACAGTTTAGCAAAAGGTACATATAACCTGTAACTAAAGCTTAAAATATGGTCAAAATACTTCAGCACAAAGGGAGAATCATGCCACCGTGGTTGGGGAGGGGGAGGGCTGAACATTCTTTTTATAATATTATTATTATATAAGTTACAGGTGTACAGCATTATAATTTACCACCTGTGTACTCTACGGAGTGGTCACCACCACAGGTCCAGTTACCATCCATTCCCATACAGTTGACCCCTTTCACCTGTTTTGCCCACCTTCAACTCACTTCCCCTCTGGTAACAACTAATCTGTTTTTTCTATCTAAGAGTCTGATTTTGTTTGTTTGTTTTGTAGATTCCACATATGTGTGAAATCATAGCGTTTGTCTTTCTCCACCTGACTTACTTCATGTAGGCATAATACCTTCAAGGTCCATCCATGTTGTCACAACTGGCAGGATTTTGTTCTTTTTTATGGCTGAGTAGTGGTCCATTATACATAAATATTTATCATTGGTTGAATTAATTGTTTGTGATTTTTAATGCACATTTGTGCAGAGTCAAATAATATCTGATGCTCTTAAAACAGTATGTCTGAAGCAGTATAATATTGTGGAAGGATTATGGACTAGAGAGTTGGAAGGAACTTGTGTCTAATTTGCAATTTATACCATCCGAGCCTGCATTTCCTGAACATGACAATAAAATGGGCCACTTTATAGAGCTGTTGGGCGTATTTAACAGTAATCTATAAAGTAGGTTATACATACGGTACTTTTTACTCATTAAGTGTTAATTTAATTTTTATTTACGTGGACTTAAAATGCCTTGACCCTGTTACGGTGAGAATGATCATAGATTAGCTGTGCTTTTTAAAATATTCTGAACCTCAAAAATGAAGCAGCATAGTTATGTGAAATAATCTAAACAAAGTAAAATCAGAGACGGTCTTTTGAAACCATTTCTGGTTTTGTTTGATATTCGTACAAATTATTTATTTCCCTGAATTTTCGGAGGTGAATTGAAGCCACGGATCTGTAACAAAAATGTACCAGGAATATTTAAAACACATTTGTGCTGGTTAAAATAAAACAGTGTGTAAGTATGAAAACTAATAACTGATTCCAGATAAGTTTTGAGAAGAAATAAGGATCATTTGTGTAAAACTACTCAGCTATGGGAAATGGTACTTTTACCTAAAGAAAGGACAATAACATTTGAAAACAATTTTAAACACAAGTTGATTGATCTGAGTCATACATCTTTACTTTCCACAGGGAAAAAATAATAAGATTGATTGCAATCAAGACTGTTTTGTGAGACAGAAAGAGAAAGGAAGTTCTGGTGCTTAGTGAACTACTTTCCTATATTCATTCTGGGAAATTATCCTATCTTTGTTGTTTTACAGATCTACTTACGATTCTTGGACTATGAGATGCAGAATTCAAATGAATGCAAAAGGAATTTTGTGGCGGTGTATGATGGAAGCAGCTCCGTGGAGGATCTGAAAGCCAAGTTCTGCAGCACCGTGGCCAATGACGTCATGCTCCGTACAGGTCTCGGGGTCATCCGCATGTGGGCGGACGAGGGCAGTCGCAACAGCCGGTTTCAGATGCTCTTCACATCCTTTCAAGAACGTAAGAATCTCTGCACTTCACTGTTTATCCTTCGAATGTGTCAGATGATGCAAATCTCATAAACCGTTGATGGTGTTTTCTTCATGCAGTTTGAGCACAGCAGGCTGAGCCTTAGTAAGTTGTTCACATCGCTGAGATTCCCTTTCCTTCAGTTTGGTCCAGGGACAGGAGAGTTACATATTACCTTTTGATTACCTATATCGGCATATGCATCATAGCCTTGCTTAAGACACTTCACACTATTCAATTGGGAAATGATGAATTTTGTTTGTCTTTTGTTTAGCTGTTACCAAGCTATGGAACTGAGGCAGCAGCTTCCAGTGAAGTTTAAGTCTTAAAAACCTGCATAGAAATATTTGGTAGGTTCTCTTTAGTAAGCTTCTCTTGCCATCCCATTGATTTCAAATAGGTCTGTGACTACATAGCTCCTATTAAAGTAGGCAAAGAGGGAGAATTGCTTGGGAAGAGAGTAAATAGAAAAAGTTCCAGAAAATAGTTTAAACGGCTCAATGGATGACACCCAGAGTTACGGGCAAAGCACAGAAATTTTAGAAAATCATGTTCTAACAAATACTGAATTATATTAATAGATATATGTTTGAACTGTTCTTTAGAAGCTTTGAATAATTCATGTTTAATAAATTTATACAAATGAAAAATAAACCTAAGAAATTCAGCTTTAAGGAATCAGTCCTTTACCATTTGAAACTATACATTTTTTTAAAACAGAAAAGACAATGTTTTTGAAATGTCAAGGATTTCTCAGTGATAGGCAGAGCAGTCACTGTTTTTTCAATTCATAAATGTTAAAGGTATTAGACGATTACTTTGTATCATAAATGAATAGTTTGGGCTTTAAGTTGCTCTTTAATTACCCAGTTGGAGAATTCTAGGGCCCCAGAAGTACTGAATGTCAGTCTTTCTGTATCTTGATACGATCACAGAGTATGTTAAATCTCCCACCCAAGATTGTTGCAGATTTCAACAGCACGTTGCTATCTATGTCTTCACTTCAGGAGTTGATCAAAATGTTAGAACGAGTGCGTCTTTATTTCAGCAAGGTATCTGGCCAAAAAACCCTCATCAGTTTCTTGTTTGGAATTTGAAGAAATTCAGGCTGTAAGATAGCACATTTGGTGTTTTCACCGATGATTGCTTTACCATATCCGGCCGATTGTGCCTTTGGTGAGGCTCAGAGTGTACCTTATTCAATATTTTTGTCTGTCTTGGATAATCACAGATTGAGAACTTTCTAATTTAACACATATGGAAGTTCTAGTTAATACGTTAGTTGATATAATCAAGTTTTTAAAACTATCACAAAAATATGCAATTTTTATCAAAGCTATGCCATAAAATGTAGTACGGATAAATTAAAATATGTATTCTTACGTTTCATATATCAAGTAAAGAAACTCTGACTCCTAGGACTTCCTAAGGTTTTATTGCATTCGAACTCAACATAAGCCAATAATTTTTTAAATAATTGACAAAAAATATCTAATGCAGTATTAGCTTATATTAAGGAAAATGCAGTAAGCAGCTCAAAGAAGATACTCCTGTAGGAAGCTGCACTGGTCAAAATGCAAATTGCATAGCCTGTTCTCTTCTGGGTGTTATTACTGAGGAGCAGAGTCATCAGTTAGAAGAGGCTGACCAGGATGCAGAAGCATCTAGAATCATGGGAAAAGGGCAAAGGAGAAGGAATGTTTATCTTACAGATTTCTTTTTTTCAAAATGTGATAACTACCTTAGACTTAGGTGGGTGATATGGATTAATGCTTGAGAGGTAAGATTAATGTTTGTTAAATTAATTATAGGAAACTATTTGAGTGTAATTTAGGAAGAAGAAATGTCTAGATCATAGGAGCTGCAATATTCCAAAATTGAATGGGTTCCCACAGAGGATATTCCACAGAAGGCTATATGAGAAATGGGTTCTCATCGGGCGTGAATGGTGTAGGGGAAATGTCTAGGTTGGATAGGGGAAAAGGAAGACTAGCTAACGTCTAAGGTCCCTTTCATCTCGAAGACTAAGACCTGTGAGACTTTAAAATTCTGCTTATATAAGAAATGGTGAATTATATCATACTGGTAAAATTCTGCTTATATAAGAAATGGTGAATTATATCATTAGAGATATTTTTGAGCTAAAAGACAGAGTTTTCATTCTGTAATTAAATGATCTCTGGAAGTCATTCAAGTGGGTGAACTTTCAGTGACTAATCCAGAAGAAACAGGGTATTCTCCCTAAGAAAGCCACTTAATGTTCCTACACAGTGGATGGATGATCATGCTCATCTGAGCGAGTATTACGTCGCAGTTTCCATGATTATCTCATAAATTTACAGGAAGCTTTGATTGAAACAAATTTATCCTCTGTGTCATGTTGCCTGTGCAGTTTTGTTATGATATTTTGTTTTTTCTGCCTTGACTAAAACTGTGCAGAATTACATGCCTACGATCAAAGTCAGCATGTGATGGAGTATATGGGTATAGACTAAGTATTTTTGCTTTGAAATCAAGGTATTCCCGATAAAAGATGAAAAGTTTCAGAACAACAGGAAGTAGACTTCAATCAATTCTTTTATTCAGAAACGAGTGATTCTAATCTTTATTCCACATACACACACATATGGAATAAAGATGAGAGATGTGAATCAATGACCAGCTTTTTCTTACTCAAATAATGAGAAACCACCTTGATATTTTTCTTGGTTCCTATGTTTATTAGGTGGTATCCCCAAGTGCAGTGTTGGAAAGTGCTTAGGGTGTAATCAACACTATTCTAATATCTGTCAAAACGTCTTATATTAGGACCATAGGATATTTTTAGGAGTTAGATAAGAGCTTAGAAGCCATCTATTTCTATCTCAAACATTTTATGAATTCAAACAGAAAAAGAAAAGACCCAGGGAAGTTAACTGACTTTCCCTGAATACCCTCAACACCATGCTTAATGATTTGAAAACAGCACGGAGGCAAGAATGTAAGACCTGACTAATGGATGCAAGTGGGAATATATTTTCAACTCATTTTATTTTTACATTTGTATCTGAATAAATTACAGTAAAGGGAAAGGATGAGTGTATAAGAGAGAGGCGTAGAAATTCTTACTATGAGTCATCCCACTTTGAGGTTTCACAGGCACCTTAGAAGAATTTTAAAAGTCTGGATTAAATGCCAACATTTGCAACAATGAAAACTATCCTCTCATATAATGGGAGGAATATAAGATCACTGAATTGAGAAGTATTTACCTTCAACTGTGTCACGAGAAATAACATCTTCCCTAGATAAGTCCTATAAATATCATACTCCTGCCCCTACTGTCTTGCTAACTCTTCACCTCAGCCTTTCCTCAGCTCTGCCTGAGATTGCTGCCCTGATTAATGGTATCACAGTGCTCTGTTGGCTGCTGTTAAAAAAATGTTTAGAGCAACTTTGAAACCTATCAACTAGAGAACAAACAACCAGTGTTATCACCAAATAGGCACTGTCTTACTTCATTAGGTTATAGTCTTTTGAATACTTCAAATGGCCTCTTGTACTCAGAATGCTCAGTCCCCTCTTAAATAATCTATACAGTGGAGATGAACACATATATGTGCAGCCGAAAAAGACCTCAAATTTTTAGGTATTAATTTTGGATAGTATTCTCTACGAAAGATGACTTATTCAAACTTTAAATATATTCTGAAATGAAGAGGAAAACGTATTAACCACTGTGACTAATTTGCTTTCTTGGGTCAAAAATCAACAATTCGGAGAATCAGGTTAGAAACACAGCTGAGGATAAAGAAGAATGAATCCAACTTGAGATAAAGACGGAACAGTTTGAATAATTCTCACATTGATCTTGAAAGTATGCTATATTTTATTTTAGTGACTCAATTTAAGATTGCCTATAAGAATAGAGTTTTACACATTTGCATCACATTTTATAAAGACGTTGGTCTTGCTCTAAAAAATCATCTACAATTTTTTGAATTGATTATGGTTAGTGTAATTTCAATGTTGAGCATACTTATACGTGAAAACGCATGATCAATTATGATAGAACTGTATATTTAAGTATTGTATATGTATAATGGAGACATTAGTGAAATGTACCTCTTCACATTGAGTCACAAGCCAGATTTTCTGGTCCTGCCTTTTCCTGAACACACCGTGAATTTGCAGTAACTAGAACGAATGAATACAATAGTGATATCTCATTGTGACTTCTGAAGTTCTACCTTCAGCTGCTCTTCGGCTCTTATTTACACCATGATAAAATCTCAATCACTTAATGCTTGATTAATGGGCAGCATATTTCTGTTAAAAACAGACATGCAACTAAAAAGAGATGAAAAGAAAATTGTTCATTTTAAAGATGTGGGAATAATGTTTACAATAATTTGCTAAAATGAGACTTTGTATTTCATTTCATATCAATTTATGGCAAAAGGCCACAGAGTCTAAACTACAGATTTATTTACAGTAAAGAAATATACATACAGTAATATTTAATTTCAAAGAGGAGTTGAATTGAAGGATTCTGTGGAAGGCACAGAATCCTACAATATCATTTTGTAATTAAATTATATTCTATGGCAAAAGTTATTTTGCTGATGTAAATAAGGTCTTAGTCAATTGATTTTGAGTTCATCAAAAGGGAGATTATCTTGGGTGGACCTGACCTCATCAGGTGAGCTCCCCAAAATAAGGTGAAGCATGAGTCAGAAAGACTGCTGGCCTGGAAGAAGAAAGCAAACAGGTATGTTGTGAACTGCCTGCCTGTTACAGGGGTGAACTCTAGGAGCTGAGAACATCCATAGCCATTGACTAGCAAGTAAATGGGGACCCCAGCTGTATAACTGCAAGGAACTGAATTCTACCAACAACCCGAATAAGCTAGGAAGACAACCCTGAGAATCAGATGAAAACCACAGCCCCAACCGATGCCTTGATTTCACCTTGTAAGATTCTAGCAAAGGATCCAGTACTTGGGCTTCTGA